ACTCAGTTATGTCATCGTGGAATGCTCTGCCACCAGAGGTTACTCAGGCAAAAAGCAAGTTTAGTTATAAAAAACAGATAAAAAACATATTGTATCACAGCGCCTCTCCTCTTTCTAAAGATCTAATTTAACTGTACTGTATATAAGAATATGAATACTACTCGCTGTAAGCTATCAGTCATAGTTGGTAACCGTCAATGTATTTCTAAAGACAAAAAGGTTTCTACCTGGAACCCGAAAGGGTTCTTCAAAGGGTTATTTCATAGAGAAAGCAGAGGAACCCTTTTGGAACCCTTTTGTGTGTATACAAGAGTGTACATGCTGCAGGATGTGTGTCACTGTTTTAGCCCTAGATGGCTAGATATAGAATATAGTAATAGTGTATGGTGGGTATTTAGACTGTATGTTTTTGTTTCTTTGCTGTATGATTTTCTGTGTTTTATACTGGAGCTGCTTCCTTGGCTATGGTCTGCCTTGACAGAGATATTTTAGATCTCAATGGGACTCTTTGAATAAAGTAAAAAATATATACAAAATATTGCATGTATCGTTTTAACTTATTTGTCAACATATTATTACATACAGTATATGTCATTATGACATCTCCTTGTCCACACCATGTCATATATGTCAACATGTATGTTAACATATATGGCCACAGTTTTCCGCTGTTATTCAAATGTACCCTATCCTCAGGCCTGCCATTAAGGATACAGTCAGTTTAACACATTAACCAACATTTTCTGGCTGCAAATATAATCGCTGTCCGGTCCCTCGAGGGCCAGGAAGTAGGACAAAGGCAAAGCGACTAATCCGTGGCTCGACGCCGCTCTCGATCCCCATCTGCATCCCTCCGGGGTAAAATCAATTTGGCCGTAAAACATTTAAAAACGTTTTGCAACGGAAAGCGAAAATGATAATTTCTTAGGTAGTCCAGGTAGACCCTCCCTGCTTCAGTTATGTTTCAGTCCTGTTGCAGTCCTTTGATGCCTAATGAACACAACCCAGGTCTAATCCAGGGAGTGACCTGGGGCGGGATGACGATCACAACAGGTCTCCCAGCTGTTTGATGTGCGGATAAGAAGGTCAGAGCAGGTCAGCCAGGGCCTGCTGTTTGCCTTCCAGACAGACCAGACAAGCTGGCATGTTGTACAACATGGTATTACATTCACACTAATACATTCCTACCAGCCAGACCCCCGCTGACAGACTGTGACAGTGGTCAGGTCCCATACTGTGTACTTAAGCTGATGAGGGTGAGAGAGGGAGAGAGAGTGGTACTGGTAGTGATGTCAATTGGCCTCAGGCGGTAGACTACAGTACAGAATTATATACTGTATAGAAATATATTAATGTAGAAGAAATATATACTGTAGAAATATTTTCATGTAGAAGAATAGATACTGTGGTCATTAACTGCTTATTCAAATATATGTTGGTTGTTATTTCCTCCAAAGAAAGGGATCATGAAGAATATATTCCACCTTTCAGGTAATATTTTTATATTTATATTATAGGTAATACAAGTGATGCACTGTATTCAGGATCACGAAGATATCTATTTTCACTCTCCTCCTCCAATCATGTGGACACACTTAATTGCAGCCACCAGTTTCCCAGGATGCTCCTGAGTGGCGCAGTGGTCTAAGGCACTGCATCGCAGTGCTAACTGTGCCACTAGAGATCCTGGTTCAAATCCAGGCTCTGTCGCAGCCGGCCGCGACCGGGAGACTCATGGGGCGGCGCACAATTGGCCCAGCGTCGTCCAGGGTAGGGGAGGGAATGGCCGGCAGGGATGTAGCTCAGTTGATAGAGCATGGCGTTTGCAACGCCAGGGTTGTGGGTTCGATTCCCACGGGGGGCCAGTATAAAAAAATAATAAAAATAAAAATGTATTCACTAACTGTAAGTCGCTCTGGATAAGAGCGTCTGTTAAATGACTAAAAATGTTTTTTTTTTAAATAACTCGCCCCCTGTCATGTGTTTCTCTCAGGATGCTGGAGTGACTGAAAAAATAAACAGGTTCAAGCGCATTCTAATGGTTTTTAAACACTTCCTGTCTGAGTGCGCCTGGCTGCATTGGTCAGCCTACATTCTTTCTAAGTGTGGGTTCCTCTCTTTGTAACTGAACTTGAATCATGTTTGTTCAAGGATGGGTGTCTAGGAGGACAGGGCATACTGCTGTGTATAATGTTCGTCAAGTTCATTCACTATATAAGAACTAAACAGTAGTAGTTCACTGTGTTGGAAATGCATATTAAAGTATGTCACATTCAGTGTTTTGCTGCATTAATATTGCATGGACAGAGAGGATGATTGTAACACTGTAATAACATTAGGCTATATTGTAATAGCATTATACAGAATATTCAGTCTTTCCAGCAGTTTGATAGCCTACCTAATGAGAACACTGTGTTGTGAACTTCTTTCGAGGAAAGCAAAATCCTTTCATTGAAATGTGATCAAATGAACGCAAATGAACCCCCATGCATGGACGATTTTCACATTATCCATCCATGATCAATTATTATTTTGCTTTCTATTGGGAGTCATATGAGCCTCCCGTAAATAGGCTACATTGTTCAACCTCCCCAGTCTCCTTTTACTGCAACAGTTATCCGCTCCTCAGGCGATGGGCAATAAGGATGAGAGGAAAACTAGAAAATGACTGTCTTCCTTTACTAAACACCCCACATGTAGGCGCACACATCCTGATTGACATATCCAGAGACCAGCCTCTGCGCATTGTTGGCCAATAGCGGCGCAGAGCTGGGTCGAGCCTTCAGATCCAACCTCTTATTTTAACTCATATAACACACACACCAGAAGTCATGTGACCGTAATATAGTACAACTCTGCCTCGCTGCTAGTCAGTCTGAACGGTGCTGCATGGTAAGTCTCAAGGGCAAACCGTGCATTAGAGAGAGATTCCCCATCGAATGCAAAGGAAAAGTAAATGCATTGGAATTAAACAGGGATTTGTACATGCTCGACAGAATAAGGTAAGATCAGAGATTTCGTTTTCCCCACATGTTTTCCTTAGGAATAGGTTCTGCAAGAGAAATTGGGCGTGCGTTTCTCCTCCAGCCTACGGCCATATGCCGCAGCACGCTGCTGGACAAAAACATGTTTACGTTGTAGCGTTGGAGCTGCGCTTTCTTACGCGTTCTATAGCTGCTGGGATAGGCAAAATGTGTGCTCGTTTGCTTCAAAACTAGAATACATCTGTAGATTATGAGTTATGATCAAACGAGACAAGGAAATGTTTAAAAATATGACTTTTCTGCCAATAGTCGTTTGAGAGGTAAGGTGTTTAAATTGATTTTCAATTGATTTACATTTCATTGAAATTTAGGCCAATAAGCTTATTTTTGTTAAATCTTGTTTTATACTTTTCTTATTAGTATGTTGTAATTATACAGTGTTTATTATTGCAATAGCAAGTCATTGCGTGAATATAATTTGCACATGCGGGTTTACTAGGCAATACCAGGGGTGTCCTGTCAAACATATATATGGCCTGCTGGCCAGATTCGGCCTGCAAGGGGGTCCAATCCGGGTCCAAACACAATATATTTAAAAATGACTAACACGAAATCGAAACAGTGTAAAAATAATAATGGACCTACATTCATACAGTGTATTGACTGTGTCTAGCTAATAATCCAATAATCACTGAAATTAAAGCTACAGTCAGGGAGCATCGACAACTCCAAAAACGATGATAGAGGACTATTATTTGCAAATTCTGACTGCTAGGAAATATAACACATTTTCAGTGCTGCCCCCTGGACCTCATTAAATACTGAATGAGGCTGGGGGGCAAAATGAGTTTGACACCCCTGAGAGATTATAAATACATTTGAATGTATCTAGGTGAACAAGATATAAATGGTCAAGCAGAACAGATGAATGGAGTAATTATGCACTGGATTTGTCGCAATAATTGTGTGTCATTCCACTTCAAGTGCATTTCCAGTGATTGGAGTTGATTTATTGCGTTTTGAGTGTTCTGTAAATAGCTTGCATGTGATTTATGCACTTTTGGGATTGCTCGGTGCTCTTGGCTGCCCCACGCAGTGCTTTTTGTTAATCCTTTGACAGTTCCTTTGGTGGGTTACTGTCGGTCACTGAGTCAAGAGGCCCCGAGAAGGCGAAGGTGAAATATCCGGGCTCAGCTTTGCCTTACCTTCGCCTTTACTTGACACAGTGTTGCAAGGTTGTTGCAAGTTACAAATGACAATAAAGAAAATCCTTGCAATGTTTATAATTAAACAATTATAATTATTAACTATAGTAAAACATTTGTTAAAATTAAAGAATATCCAATAAGTTAATTCAATAAAAAAAATGCGCTAAAAACCAATGTGTGCTTTGTCAGGAATAATTTCCATTGCGTATGGTCATAAAGTTATTTTAAATTATGTTTACTCCTGAAATACAAGTAAAGGAATGTGATAGCCAATAGCTGCATAGCTCTCTGGAAGTCGCTTCATCTCTCATGCCAACTGCTTCATCGCTCACACCAACCGCGTTCGAACTCGAAAGGGAAACATGCACCGCATTCCATATTTTTCACGTCAAGCTAGGAACTGAGTGGCTGAAGATCATTTGGTTCACAGATGGTGCATTGGAGATTCATGACTTGTGATTAGGTCTTGGCTATCTGTTATTTTCCCTGTAGGCTCTTGTCTGTGTGTTATTACAGTGAACATCAGTTTAGTAACCTTTTCTCTCTTCTTCTTTGCTTATTTATATTTATAGATATACAGTGTCTGAGCTGGAAACCTTTTTCTACCCAAGCTTATTTTTTATCTTGAGAGAGAGCAACAGGTGTTCTCTATCTCTCTGCGAAGCACGACCTTGCTGTGGTGACCTGTTCGTGGGTTTATTTGGTCCCAGTTTCCCAACAACAAGAGGAATAACCCTAACAAACTGCTGTATCAGCAAGACAATTTTCAACACAAAGTGGGAGACATTCTCTTGGCCCCTAGCCAGGAATGGTGGATAACTTCCTAGTGAGCGGTGAGGACACTTTTTTACCGTACGGTGGCTCCCCACCGGCATATCGCCTGTCGGACATGGTGACTGATGGGGGGACCTACCAGGTGATGCCCTCGCCCTTCTCCGAGGATGACCTGAGCGAGTCGTCCAGCCCTCGCTCCTGCTCCAGCCCCGACTCCCAAGTGCTCAGCTCCAGCTATGGCAGCAGCTCCAGTGCCGAGAGCTCAGACAGCATCCTGGACCTCCTGCTGTCCCAGACCTCCCTAGGCGGGGCAGGGAACGGGGCGACCATCCCCATGTCACTGCCCACCTTTCTGTGGGACTCACGGAGGGATGCGCCATCCCACCCCCACCCAGAGGCTTTGAAGGAGGAGAGCGTGGACTTTCCGGTCTGGTCCTTAGTGGACATGGAGGAGCCGTCCTTCCAGCCCACCTTAGAGGAGATAGAGGAGTTCCTGGAGGAGAACATGGAGGTGGTGTCGTCCATGAAGCAGGAGGCCCGGGAGGGGGCGTTGGGGCTGGGCCTGGAGGAGATCTTGGGGCTGGGGGTGGGACTGGAGGTGTACAGGGAGTCCTCATCCCCAGGGCCAAGGCCGGAGCCAGAGGCCAAGCATTCAGACCAAACTGTGCCGACCGCGAATGCCGCCAACATCACCGATACCAAAAGCACACCAGCCACATCATCACAGGAGTACAACGAAGGCCCGCACGACAACGGGTTCAAGAGTGGTTCATTATCCAGCAGGCCAGGTTCAACACAGAGCGGTGCAAATGGTGGCAGCGCTGGGATGCCGGTCATCCTGCAGCTCCAGCCCATTCAGATCAAACAGGAACCTGGTTCCACGGTTACTCCTCCTCCTCCCCCAGTCGTCCAGCCTCCTCCTCAGCTGGCATCAGACATAAAAATTGCCCAGCTGCTGGTCAACATCCAGGGGCATACCTTCGCCCTGGTGCCCCAGCTGCTTCCCTCCACCAGCCTCAACATCTCCTCTAAGTTTGTGCGCATCGCACCGGTGCCCATCGCGGCCAAACCTCTGGGCCTCGGGGAGGTGGCGGTCGGGGGCCAGGGCCATGGGCTGCTGGTGGGGGGTCAGAAGTTCCAGAAGAACCCGGTGGCGGACCTAATCAAAATGCACAAATGCACTTTCTCTGGCTGCACCAAGATGTACACAAAGAGCAGCCACCTGAAGGCCCACCTGAGGAGACACACGGGGGAGAAGCCCTTTGCCTGCACCTGGCCGGGCTGTGGATGGAGGTGAGTGGGTGCTCATTGACGACAATGATGATGATGATGATGTATTACTTTATGGATTTTCTATGTCAAAAAGCCTTCAGACATTCAACGTAGTAGACATACAGTGGCTTGCCAAAGTATTCACCCCCCTTGGCATTTTTCCTATTTTGTTGCCTTACAACCTGGAATTATCATTTGTATCATTTGTATCATTTGATTTACACAACATGCCTACCACTTTGAAGATGCAAAATATTTTTTTGTGTGAAACAAACAAGAAATAAGACAAAAAAACAGAACTTGAGCGTGCATAATTATTCACCCCCCCCAAGTCAATACTTTGTAGAGCCACCTTTTGCAGCAATTACAGCGGCAAGTCTCTTGGGGGTATGTCTCTATAAGCTTGGCACATCTAGCCACTGGGATTTTTTCCCATTCTTCAAGGCAAAACAGCTCCAGCTCCTTCAAGTTGGATGGGTTCCGCTGGTGTACAGCAATCTTTAAGTCATACCACAGATTCTCAATTGGATTGAGGTCTGGGCTTTGACAAGGCCATTCCAAGACATTTAAATGTTTCCCCTTAAACCACTCGAGTGTTGCTTTAGCAGTATGCTTAGGGTCATTGTCCTGCTGGAAGGTGAACCTCCGTCCCAGTCTCAAATCTCTGGAAGACTGAAACAGGTTTCCCTCAAGTATTTTCCCTGTATTTAGCGCCATCCATCATTCCTTCAATTCTGACCAGTTTCCCAGCCCCTGCCAATGAAAAACATCCCACAGCATGATGCTGCCACCACCATGCTTCACTGTGGATATGGTGTTCTCGGGGTGATGAGAGATGTTGGGTTTGCGCCAGACATAGTGTTTTCCTTGATGGCCAAAAAGCTCAATTTTAGTCTCATCTGACCAGAGTACCTTCTTCTATATGTTTGGGGAGTCTCCCACATGCCTTTTGGCGAACACCAAACGTGTTTGCTTATTTTTTTCTTTAAACAATGGCAAGGGGGATGAATACTTTAGCAAGGCACTGTACCTATAGCAAACTTCCACCATTGACCACATAACATGATGATTCTTCACAGTATATTGAAATAGATGCAATAATCTCATCACACTCGTTATCATAATTGTATTCGGCAGGTGTCAGGGTTTTGAAGCTCAAGAATTTAAGATTTGAACAACGTTGCTTTATGGTTATGGCAGGTTGTATAAAGAATGCTTAGGTGGTTTTGAGTGAGAGACCAGTCAGTGAGCACAAGCTTTGACAATCATGTGTGAGATATGGATTATAGATTATTGTTACCGGAAGGCCTTTCTGGACGCAGTGAGGTAATTATATGTCTGTCCACTATACAGTACACGCAGGATGTCATGTTCCTCAATGGAAGGAAGCCTTTGCACCACAGACCGTGACTGGCACTTGAATTGACCTGTCTGATGAGGTCATCAATTAGCGCCAGTGAGGGGCTTAAAGTGAGACTTCACAGGATCCACAGGCCCCATTACTTATTAGTAGAGACTCATTCTCTCGCAGCACCAAGCTATCAGATGAGGCTCAGTGTTCATGGTGCTAAACATGGAATTGAGTTGCTTGTTTCCTTGTGGCTATGTGGCTGTCACTCAACATGCTATTCCTTTATTGCAGTGCCACAATTCATTCCCCACAGTAGCAGTGCTGTGAATCATTATACATGTCTAGCACTTAGTGATATTTCCCCTTGTGGAAAAGTTGGATAACACTTCAAATGAAGAAAAAGTATTCAAGAAAGGAACGCATTTGACTTGCAGAACAGCCCACCATGGTCATCTACAGTATAGTCAGAAAATAGAAAGCGAGGAAGAAATGTATTTCAAATCATTGTTTGCCTTCTTTCTCTTCTCCTCATCAGCTTTTCCAGAGCTCTTGCAATCTTAATGGCTGTCAGGCTGCATTCAATGTGTTAATTGGAGGGTTGTCAAGAGATATAAACGTGTTCCCTCAGATTGACACTTTTTTCAGGCACCGAGATATCTGGGACATGCCTCCTGTTCTGACTCGACAGCTGTGCAGTATTGTGCATGAGTGTGTGTTTGTGCAAGAGTCTGTGTGTGTGTGTGTGCGAGAATAAGTGTATGCGTTTGTGCGAGCGTGTGTGACTCTTGGCCCTCAGTACAACTGGCTGATTTCCTGAGGACACAGGGTCAGGCGGAGAGAGTGACAGGATCGGGTGAAATTGGCTTTCTAAGCCAGGGGGAATGTTATTCATATGCCCTACACAGACCTCACTAAGTACAAGTGGCTAGAAGAGCAGGGACAAGCCAACACATGGGCAAAGTAGGGATCTGTTAGTGGTGTGTGTGTGTGTGTGTGTGTAACAGTGTGCATTCTGTTCTGCCCTGACCAGGGATCAAACTAGAAACCTTCTAGACAACATCACACGCAATTCAAAGCCAACCATCTTAGCCAATAGAGCAAAAGACTAGTTTGTCATTGCGTGAGCGACAGTTGCCTTTAGATCTCAGGGAAGGTGTGACGTCACCAATGTATTCCAGTCAACATGCCACAGATTACTTTCACATCTACTACACGTACGTGCGTGTATGTGTGTATACATGCATGTCTACACTCTCCATACAGCATATTAGTTTGTAGTGCTGAGCGATTAGTGCTTTTTGAGGTCGGTTTGGTTTCAGTTAGATTCAAAAAAATTATCATGGTTTTCTATTTCGGTTTCAATAATGTTTTTTAGGTTGAAGGCTGTAACAACACAGAATAAAACAATTAATAAAAGTCCAATGATGGTAGTGACTGCCCATTACTGCTTATTATACTGCTCACTTATTAACCATCATTTATTCACATTATTTTAATAAAATATTTTAGTTGTTGTGTATATTACATTTGTTTTATTTGATTACTTTATTATTTAATTCCAAATCATCATCTCATTTTTATAGAGCTGATGCCTATGCTGTATGACAAAATATAATATATAAATCACAATTTTAGTAGTTCTTCAAAGTAAATAAGGCATACTTTAATGACTGCTGAATACCAACTATCAATCACTTAGATAATGATTTGTTTCAGGTAGAGATACCTCGCGAAGCAACTGCTCTCTATCCCTCTCAATCTCACGTTCTTCTGTCTTCCCTCCCTCTCCCTCTCCATGTCTGGCCCACACAGACCGGACAAGTAGGCGCGCGCAATGGGTTGTCATTGTAGTTAATTACCACGTTTTCTGCGCTAAACTATGTATAGGGGCGGCAGGTAGCTTAGTGGGTAAGAGTGTTGTGCCAGTAACCGAAAGGTCGCTGGTTCTAATCCCCGAGCCGACTAGGTGAAAAATCTGTCGAGGTGCCCTTGAGCAAGGCACTTAACCCTAATTGCTCCTGTAAGTCGCTCTGGATAAGAGCGTCTGCTAAATGACTAAAAATGTAAATGTATAATATTGGCCTGTTGGAAACTACAACTCCCTACTACATTGCACAGTTCGGGCTTGATCTGATTTCTCTCTAGAGAAACTGCGCATTGAGCTTGCAGAAAAAACAACAAATTAAATGGAATTGAACTGATGTCAGTCAATTAGTTGTTTGAAAAATAACAACAATTTCGGTTAATCACTCAGCACTATTAGTTTGTATAGAATCATCTTTTTTTTATTTTTTTTTTTACATTTTAGTCATTTAACAGACGTTCTGATCCAGAACGACTAGGGTAAAATACCTTGCTCAAGGGCATATCAACAGAATTTTCACCTAGTCGGCTCGGGATTTGAACCAGCAACATTTCGGTTACTGGCCCAATGCTCTTAATCGCTAGCCTACCTACCTCGTTCCCTCCCTGATATGCTCAATCATTCATGGACTGCAGTCCACTTCTTCTCCACTTACGCACACTGAGCAATCTATATTCCTGAAAAGGCCACTGCATCAGTCAATTTATTTATGTTGACTTTGGCACCAACTTGGCAACCCGCCAGCGGCCGAGTATTTGTAATGCTGTTCCAGTAGATGAGCTCGGCTGCAGCAGAAATCTCTCTAGTAGTTATCCAGGCAATGCATCTCGGCCCAACAAAGGGGGTCTTGTCTGTACACAAAAGACAGGATTTAGTTAAGAGTGGAGGCAAGACGATGGGTTGGGTGAAGGGGGGGGGGGGGGTGTAGAGAGGGAGAGAGATATAGAGAGAGAGTGGGCGAGTGAGAAAGCATAAAGAGAGTGAGAGGGAGAAAGAAGGTAGAGCAAGAAAGAGAGAGTGTATGAGTGAGGGGCCTGTTTCAGTTTTGCACACAATCAGACTGAGGGAAACTGGTGTGGAAGTGAGACGAACAATGGCTAAGCACTGAATAGTTACCATGACTGTGTGATAGGAACGTCTAGGCTGGCATACTGCTTGAAAAGGGAGAAGGATCGGTGTGAGGTTTCTGTGCTAAGGCTGACACTCTTAGAAAAAAGAGTTCCAAAAGGGTTCTTTGGCTGTCCACATAGGATAACCTTTTTGATTCCAGGTAGAACCCCTTTTTGGTTCCAGGTAGAACCCTTTTGGGTTCCATGTAGAACCCTCTGTGAAAAGGGTTCTTCAAAGGGTTCTCCTATGGGGACAGCCGAATAACCCTTTTTTTCTTTCTAAGAGTGTACAGTCACACGTGCAAACAGGTAAGGGAACGTTGGGAGCACACACAAACACATACACACACACATGCATGCACACCTACAGTATACACCCTCACGTACACACAGTCTCCCAGTGTTTCTGTCTTTCTCCTGCTCTCTGTCATATGTCTTATATGTGTACACACAGCAAAATCTAATTAATCCTCCACATATTTTCTCTGGAGCTGACATTGCTATCATAGCATCACAAGGCCAGGGGCACACACACTCCACACTCTGTTATTCCTGTGCTTCCAGTCAGTCAGTCAGAGGAATGAAGCAGGGGGACTCCCTGGAGAGGAAGGGGGGGGGGGGGGGTTCTTCTCAGAGTATTGTGCCCACACACGAGGAGTATCATGGTTCAGGAGAAGACCCAGATGCAGACAGTTTCGAAGTAACACAAGTTTATTACAAAAACAGGGGGGCAGGCAAACAACAGATCAAGGGCAGGCAGAGGTCAGTAATCCAGAACAGAGTCCAAAAGGTACAGAACGGCAGGCAGGCTCAGGGTCAGGGCAGGCAGAGGTCAGTAATCCAAGGCGGTGTCACAAGATACAGAACGGCAGGCAGGCTCAGGGTCAGGGCAGGCAGAATGGTCAAAACCGGGAAAACAGGAACTAGAGAAAAACAGGATTATGGGAAAATGGTAGGCTTGACGAGACAAGACAAACTGGCAACAGACAAACAGAGAACACAGGTATAAATGCCCTGGGGATAATGGGGAAGATGGCTGACACCTTGAGGGGGGTGGAGACAAGCACAAAGACAGGTGAAACAGATCAGGGTGTGACAGTTGGGTCGGGGTCCGAGGGTGTAGCCGCGGGGCTTTAGCGGTGTGACAGTGCATCCGGCTTGATATTCTTGGATCCCGGTCGGTAGGAGAGGGAGAAGTTAAACCGGCTGAAAAGCAGGGCCCACCTAGCTTGCCTGGAATTGAGATGCTTGGCGGTGCGGAGATATTCCAGGTTCTTGTGGTCCGTCCACACAATGAACGGATCTTTCCATTCATCAATTGGCCACTGCACAGTTTGGATTGATTGACTGATTTTATTTGTCAGTTAAAAAAATACATATATACACAAATATTTTTTTAAGTGACCGGGATTGCACAAGTCGGGGACTTATTTCCATTGTGGTTCCTATTTTGTACATAAATACATATACAATTACACAGATACAGACATTACATAGATACAGACACGTTACAGAGATAGAGATGGAACAAATGCTCAACCTCCAGATGAGTATGAGGGGGGAGTTTAAATACTATTCTTACAAGCTTGTTTGGCTGGTAGCTTATTCTTTAGATGTTTGGGGCTGCTGGTGAACCATGATGTGCAGGCATAATTAAAGTCATACTGGACTGGCGCACTTGCCAGAGTCTTTAGGGTGTCTATAGGTAGGTTTCCAACCAACTGGCGACAGATTTTCATGTGAATATTCTAAAATCTTCATTAAAAATAATATGCCATTTCAGTTTCCTTTAGGAAAATTTGGCGCCGGACAACATGACAGGGAAGATTTTAATTTACAGGACATTTGAGAAATGTAATGGACATCCATATGCATTCAGATCCAACCTGGCGCAGCCAGCGCCATCAATACATGAGGGATGTTGGCCAAATGAGCCACATTTAAAAACATCCTATAACAAATTACAAAAACACTATTCTTTGTGTTTCGATGTGTAGCAGACACAAAACTTTATAGCCTGTATATTTTTGGGTGGGAGGGGGTGGGGGGCTACTTTCCGAAAAAAAAATGTGTCCACTTCACGGTTCAGCTGTCAGAGATTTTAGCACTAAATGTATCAGGGTATTGCATGCATAGGCCTATAGGCTTAGGTGTCCACTGTATGATATTAATATTTGAATAAATAAATATACAGTGCCTTCGGAAAGTATTCAGACCCCTTGACATTTTCCACATTTTGTTACATTACAGCTTTATAATACACACAATACCCCATAATGACAAAGCGAAAACAGGTTTTTAGAACTTTTTGCAACTGTAGCTCAGTTGATAGAGCATGGCGCTTGCAATGCCAGGGTTGTGGGTTCGTTTCCCACGGGGTGCCAGTATGAAAAATGTATGCACTCACTAACTGTAAGTCGCTCTGGATAAGAGCGTCTGCTAAATGACTAAAATGTAAAATGTAAATTTACGTAAGTATTCAGACCCTTTGCTATGAGACTCAAAATTGAGCTCAGGTGCATCTTGTTTTCCATTGATCATCCTTGAGATGTTTCTACAACTTCATTGGAGTCCACCTGTGGTAAATTCAATTGATTCGGAAAGGCACACACTTTTCTATAGAAGTTCCCACAGTTGACAGTGCATGTCAAAGTAAAAACCAAGCCATGAGGTCAAAGGAATTGTCCATAGAGCTCTGAGACACGATTGTGTCGAGACACAGATCTGGGGAAGGGTACCAAAAAATTCTGTAGCATTGAAGGTCCCCAAGAACACAGTGGCCTCCATCCTTCTTAAATGGAAGAAGTTTGGAACCACCAAGACTCTTCCTAGAGCTGGCTGCCCAGCCAAACAGAACAATCGGGGGAGAAGGGCCTTGGTCAGGGAGGTGACCAAGAACCCGATAGTCACTCTGACAGAGCTCTAGAGTTCCTCTGTGGAGATGGGAGAACCTTCCAGAAGGACAACCATCTCTGCAGCACTCCACCAATCAGGCCTTTATGGTAGAGTGGCCAGACGGAAGCCACTCCTCAGTCAAAGGCACATGACAGCCCGCTTGGAGTTTGCCAAAAGGCACCTAAAGACTCTCAGACCATGTGAAACCTGATGAAACCAAGATTTAACTCTTTGGCCTGACTGCCAAGCGTCACGTCTGGAGAGAACCTGGCACCATCCCTACGGTGAAGCATGGTGGTGGCAGAATCATGCTGTGGGGATGTTTTACAGTGGCAGGGACTGGGAGAATAGTCAGGATCGAGTCAAAGATGAACAGTGCAAAGTACAGAGAGATCCTTGACGAAAACCTGCTCCAGAGCGCTCAGGACCTCAGACTGGGGAGAAGGTTCTCCTTCCAACAGGACAACGACCCTAAGCACACAGCCAAGACAACGCAGGAGTGGCTTCGGGACAAGTCTCAGAATGTCCTTGAGTGGCCCAGACAGAGCCCGGACTTGAACCCGATCTAACATCTCTGGAGAGACCTGAAAATAGTTGTGCAGAAATGCTCCCCATCCAAGCTGACAGAGCTTGAGAGGATCTGCAGAGAAGAACAAATACAGGTATGCCAAGCTTGTAGCGTCATACCCAAGAAGACTCAAGGCTGTAATTGCTGCCAAAGGTGCTTCAACAAAGTACTGAGTAAAGGGTCTGAATACTTATGTAAATATGGAAAAGGTCTGAATACTTTCCGAAGACACTGTATGTAGCCTATATAAAGGAAGAGAAGCTTAGGCCTAACCCCAGAGAGATAGAGATATGCCAGTGGCATGCTACGACAACGACATATATTCATTTATGACAGATGGCTACTGCGTCTGATGTTGATGTACAGAAGGAGGGTATTTCGTACATTTTCTATCCAAATATTTTGTATAAAGATAAGCATTATATTGTTAGATTATAGGAGAGGAGTTACTCTGGTAGGCCTGAAACAGTCTTCCTCACTTCAAGTTCATCTGTCGGAGTTAGTTGGAGCGCCGGGGCCCACTGCCTTCATATCATAGGCCTGTAGTATCTAAAGCTTAATAATAGCCACACCATACCAAATCTTAACAAACGTTTTATTAGGGTAATAAGTAAGTCAAGCCATTGTTCATAGGGAAAATACAACCAGAAGAGCGAATATAAACACCTCCCTCCCCCTGTGCCCAATAAAAAAACACACAACTCTCCCTAAAGCTAAAAAAATAGTTTTACAACCCTCCCCTATTTTGGACCACCCCTACTCTTAGTAAATTTCGATCTGTCCCTTAGCTTAGCCTTAGCCATGTGTTTTAAGCTAATTATTTTGCATTGTTAGCGTTACTTTAGGGTTCATCCATGTACTTTAAGCTAGCTGTACAGTAACTATTCAGCAATGACATATAGTCTGGTGGTCTTTGTCAGGGATGTTACATAACTAGCGAGGCTTGGTGAGATGCAGTAGGTCTTGCAAGAAAAGGGAGAAGCCCAGATTTACTGCAAAATAACACATTGGTTCAAGCAGACGTGTTGTAGCCAGTCACTTATTATCGGATACACTGCCCCAAGACTGCCAAAGTCAAAACGTGTCAAGCTACTTGCTGTAAAATGACTTTTACCATCATGACTGTACACAAATCTGTATATCCTACCATTTCGGAATCACTGTCTTAAACATTTGACAATAATATAGAATTAAACTAAAAGCAAGTTCTCTTGTATGTACAAAAATGTAATATTATGGAAACAATAATGTTTTATTCTATTCTAAAATGATTGACATCTCTCTCCTATCTGTGTGTGTCTCTCCCAGATTCTCACGGTCGGATGAGCTGTCGCGGCACCGGCGGTCCCACTCAGGGGTCAAACCCTACCAGTGTCCCGTGTGTGAGAAGAAATTTGCCCGCAGTGACCATCTGTCAAAACACATCAAAGTCCATCGCTTTCCACGAAGCCGGACACTGCGCACAGCAAACTGACCCCATCTGGATCACTCTTCAATGGACATAGGCCAAGGGAGCACAGAGAGTGTGTGTGAGATGGAATTTGTGTGAATGTGGATGTGTGTGAGAGTGTTGTATGAGAGAGAGAGAGAGAGAGAGAGAGAGAGAGAGAGAGAGAGAGAGAGCGAGAGAGAGAGAGAGAGAGCGAGAGCGCGAGAGAGCAACGAGAGCGCAGCGCGAGAGCGAGAGCGAGCAGAGAGAGAGAGAGAGAGAGGGTTTATGTGTGTGCCTTTTAGAGAAATCTTGTGCTATAATTTATTGTAGAAAGCAAAAACATGCAACAACCAAGTGAAACCAATAAATGACACTTACCATCTTCTTAGTAATCAACATTTCTTGAGATTCTTGATTCTTGTTGCTGTTGGTGCTGTTGTATGTTGTACTCTTTTTATTTGTTTTTCTGTTCTGTCTTTGTCTTCTATTTCAATGAAAGATAAGATAAGCTTTTTTAATTTGAGGTGAAATGTATAATTGCTTCAGTAACAGCCTTCTATTTTACCTGGATATGACTGCCTTTTATCATTTTAAGAGCCAATGTATTTGACATTCCTCATCTGTCAGGTTAAAGTTTTCCTGGAAACTTTCTCCAAGTCAGGTTGAAGTTTCCCCAGAAACGTTGTCCTTGTTTTTTTCATTGTCACTCATAGCTCATTGACAGAGAGGGTAGAGAATAGTTTACTCATTCAGCACACTGTTTATGCAAAGGGAGGGGCAGAGCCTATTTTCAATTCTGTACATGAACTACTGATAACAAATAAGAACACATCACTATAAGCTACTGGGACTCTCTCAAGTTTCAGAAAAACTTCACCGGCTCAGATTCTGATACAAGGCGGGTGAAAGTAAAAGAATGGCAGAGAAAATGCAAATCGAAAAGCAAAAAAGAAAGAATTGTGCACAGTAATGATTGTTTTATGTCTAAACAGGCCTTCCAATCAGTTGTGTATTTGTTGGTATTTTTCGTGTCAGTGGCTCAAGCCATTTGTTAGACACTTGTCTGGCCTTAATCCACCACAGCATCCTTACCAGGGGAGCAAATAGTAAAATGTCAAGTTATTCATCACAGTTTTATGGAGAAATGGTGATATGGTTTGAGACAATGAGGAAAGGGAATTGGAAATGTATCATCCTTTACTCGCTCAGCATTCACATCTATTTTGCTCTACTTTTTGCTGTTGACACAAAATCTGCCTGAACTCAGCTATCCAACCTGATCTGTTACTGGAATACACACAAGCCTATGTTGGCGTGAGGTCATCATGTATGTGGATACTACTACACCATGGTGCTGAACACCCGGAAGAACTGCTTTCTGGGAACTGTAGTCACAACACTTATTGAGGCCATGACACAGTCATTACTTTTGATGTTCTGTATGCTCTTGAAACTTGTTTGTTATATATGTCATACCCTGTTGTGAATATGTATGGTGTGAGAGATACCGTCAATGCAGAGTTCATGTAATGTTTGCAGATTAAAAAGCAGGGGTACACTATATTGTACATCATTCCTTTCATTCAATTTTTGAATTTTTAATACTTGTTTAAACACAGGTGTTTTATCGCATCCTATGAATGTATGTTAATACGCAGGAGTGTGCATAGCTGCATCCATGTGGAAGACACAGAAGACTATAATAACATATCTTAAGTCTGTGGTTGTGAAGATTTCTAGTGGAACCCCTAAATGTGTACATAACCGAACGTTTCAGTACATATGAATATATTATATATTTTTTCTTTGTTCTACCCAAGATGCATTTACAAATAAAAATCGAAATGATCCCGTGTAGATGACTCTATATTATTTCTTCACATTTTCTCATGTGACTTTATTACAGCAATAAATCATCAATGTTTGGAGGCAACACATCATTGTTTAACAAAATATATATGTGTTGTATCATTATTTTGGGTCAAAGTTTCTTGACCAGAGCTAAATATCCTTATGAATGTATTTACTAACACAAATACATGTTTCTATATAAACTATTTATTAAAAGTGTCAATCCTGTTATCATATACAGTGGGGTCCGAAATTATTGACACCCTTGATAAAGATGAGCAGAAATTACTGTATAAAATAAATAATAACAATACTGAGCTAAAGTATTTATCCCCCTTGGCATTATTTTGTTGCATAACAACCTGTAATTTAAATTTATTTTTATTTGGATTTCATGTAATGGACATACACAAAATAGTCCAAATTGGTGATGTGAAATGAAAAAAAGAACTTGTTTCAAAAAATTATAAAAAATAAATAACTGAAAATTGGTGCGTGCATATGTATTCACCCCCTTTGCTATGAAGCCCCTAAATAAGATCTGGTGCAACCAATTACCTACAGAAGTCACATAATTAGTCAAATAAAGTCCACCTGTGTGTAATCTAAGTGTCACATGATCTGTCACATGATCTCAGTATATATACACCTGTTCTGAAAGGCCCCAGAGTCTGCAACACCACTAAGCAAGGGGCACCACCAAGCAAGCGGCACCATGAAGACCAAGGAGCTCTCTAAACAGGTCAAGGACAAAGTTGTGGAGAAGTACAGATCAGGGTTGGGTTATAAAAAAATATCAGAAACTTTGAACATCCCACGGAGCACCATTAAATCCATTATTTAAAAAATGGAAAGAATATGACACCACAACAAACCTGCCAAGAGAGGGCCGCTCACCAAAACTCACGGACCAGGCAAGGAGGGCATTAATCAGAGAAGCAATAAAGAGACCAAAGATAACCCTGAAGGAGCTGCAAAGCTCCACAGCGGAGATTGGAGTATCTGTCCATAGGACCACTTTAAGCCGTACACTCCACAGAGCTGGGCTTTACGGAAGAGTGGCCAGAAAAAAGCCATTGCTTAAAGAAAAAAATAAGCAAGCACGTTTGGTGTTTGCCAAAAGGCATGTGGGAGACTCCCCAAACATATAGAAGAAGGTACTCTGGTCAGGTGAGACTAAAATTGAGCTTTTTGGCCATCAAGAAAAATGCTATGTCTGGTGCAAACCCAACACCTCTCATCACCCCGAGAACACCATCCATGGCGCTAAATACAGGGAAATTCTTGAGGGAAACCTATTTCAGTCTTCCAGAGATTTGAGACTGGGATGGAGGTTCACCTTCCAGCAGGACAATGACCCTAAGCATACTGCTAAAGCAACACTTGAGTGGTTTAAGGGGAAACTTTTAAATGTCTTGGAATGGCCTAGTCAAAGCCCAGACCTCAATCCAACTGAGAATCTGTGGTATGACTTAAAGATTGCTGTACACCAGCAGAACCCATCCAACTTGAAGGAGCTGGAGCAGTTTTGTCTTGAAGAATGGGCAAAAATCCCAGTGGCTAGATATGCCAAGCTTATAGAGACATACCCCAAGAGACTTGCAGCTGTAATTGCTGCAAAAGGTGGCTCTACAAAGTATTGACTTTGGGGAGGGTGAATAGTTATGCACGCTAATACAATTGTTCAGAGAAAGAGATTTTGTTTAAAACGTTTCTTTTTTTTATCTCCAAAAAGTAGGGGTCAGAATTATTGACGCCCCTGTTTTCAATACCTTTCAATACCTCACCTTGCGAGGATAACGGCACTGAGCCTTTTTCTAAAATGTTTTATGAGTTGGAGAACACATTGGGAGGAATTTTAGACCATTCCTCCATACAGAATCCTTCCAGATCTTTCATAGCCTTCGTCTGGGTTTATGAACTGCTCTTTTCAATTCAAACCAATAAGGGATCATACTGTACCTTTCACCTGGATTCACCTGGTCATTCTATGTCTAGGCCTCCTGTAGCTCAGTTGGTAGAGCATGGCACTTGCAACGCCAGGGTTGTGGGTTCAAATCCCACGGGGAGCCAGTATGAAAAATGTATGCACTCACTAACTGTAAGTCGCTCTGGATAAGAGTGTCTGCTAAATGACTAAAATGTAAATTTGGGGAACGCCTTAGCTATATTCGTCAAAATAAATATTTACTATGTTGATTTTTTTTTTTAAATGGTCCTCTGTAGCTCAATTGGTAGAGCATGGCGCTTGTAATGCCAGGGTAGTGGGTTCGATCCCAGGAACCACCCATACGTAAAAATGTATGCGCACATGACTGTAATTTGCTTTGGATAAAAGCGTCTGCTAAATGACATATTATTATTATTGTTATTATAATGTCATGGAAAGAGCAGATGTTCCTAATGTTTTGTGCACTCAGTGTATGTATTTATGTGATTTCCATTTTGATCAGCGTTTACGCCTATGCACGCCCTGACATATACAAGCAGCGGTCGAAAACATCTAGCGTTCCATGTCCAAAATGTGCTGACTCACCCACCATCAGGAGACCATCAAAATGTTGTTATGGACCGGGAGCGATGAGGAGGGGGGTCGGAGGACTTTAAAACGCTTACACTCGCCCAGGAACCTGGGTCTGGTTTGCTGAGTTGGGGAAAAAAAGTTATGGTGAGTGTTGAGGATGTACTGTATAGGGATATTTACAGTATGTAGTGTGTGTGTGTGTTTGTGTCTGTGTGTGTTTGCGTCTCTTTCTCTGTCTGTGTGTATGTGTGTGTGTGTGTGTGTGTGTGTGTGTTTGTGTGTGTGTCCATGTCTATTGGAGGTACTGCTCGGGGGGTAAGGTATGATCAGAAGGAGTTGGAAGGTGGGGCAGTCAGGGTTGCAGAAACAGCTAATTCATCCCACATGTTGTGTCCCTCTTTATGGTAGCATTTACCTTGACATCGTCTTATGCTGATTTAAGAGTCTACATCCTACACTCCTGGTGGGTATTGTGGAACATCCCAAAGTCCAGGCAGGTTGTCGCAGTCTGGACCATACCACTTTATTATTTCCTCAGTTAAGTGGAGGATACAGGGATGCAGGGATTCCTAGACACTTGACAAATGCCTTCTCACAGTTAGCTAAGAGTGTTCAACATAAAATATCTACATCTGTTGTGAAGTCAATAAAATTGAATACTGGGACT